CCGGCCCGTGACTACAGCCCCTACTACAAGACCATCGAGGACCTGCGCAGCAAGGTGGGCCCGCTGCCTGGTGGGAGGGGACGGGGCTTCTCCCCACCTCTGCCCTTGAGGAAGCCCAGCCTGAGGACTCCCAGGCTGCAGGGGACACCCGGCAGCTCGGCTCTGGCTGTGGGACCCTCTAGGGCCCACACGTCCCCTTTGTGGGGGCAGCAGGCCGGGCCAGGGACAGCAGCCCAGTGAGCCCTAGAGTGTCCGTCTCTTTGGCAGCTGTCTCTGTGTGTGGCTGTGGGCTACGGCACGAGGCCACGTGGGGAGCGGCTGTGTGGCTCCTCTCCTCTGCGGCAGGGTCAGCAGGAGGAGTTGGGTGACAGTGGGGTGGGGGGTTGCAAGTGGTACCTGCAGGAGGAGAGGCTGGACCATGAAGTGGGCCAGGCCTCAGATGGGCTTTCCGGGCCCCTGGCTTCCGGCTGCTCCTCCTGCCCCTTAGGATGGGCCTGATGGGCCAGGGGGCGTGGCTGCCGGCAGCGGGGTCCTGACTTCTGATTTGGAGCCACCGTGGGCCGGGGCTCCTCCTGAGGGGGACTCAGGCACCATGTGTCCATTGTCCAGCGGAGCCCCCTGCCTCGCCCCTCCCCGGAGTCCTGGGGCAGCTCCTTCCTGGCGCATCCTCCCCACCCCTGGCTCCGCCCCACCTCCCTAGCCCAGCAGCCTCTGCTCCTGGCTGAGCCTGGACGTGGTCTGGGGACAGGGATGAAGGTGTCTCTAGCCCCTCCGACTGCAAAAGCAGCAGGTGGGCAGGAAGCCAGCTCAGGACCCGGCTCAGGGCTCAGCCCCTTCCTGCACACTGACCTCTTCCCTCACCACCTCCCAGATTCTAGTGGCCACCGTGGACAACGCCCGTATCCTGCTGCAGATCGACAACGCCCGGCTGGCCGCGGACGACTTCCGCACCAAGTGAGTGGTGCGGGATGGGGGGCCTGTGCAGGGCTGTGCGAAGGGCTCAGGGGCGTCCTGCAGCTGAGCCCGCTGTTAGTACCGGTGGAGCCCGTGTGGGGAGCTCTGAAGGGTGGCGCGGGGAGGGGAGGGGAGCAGCTGGGGGCAGCACAGTCTTTGACGCCCCCGGCACCAGGGATGGCCTCCTTCCTCCCACTGTGGGGAACTCGCCCTGCAGCCCAAGTGGCTTGGATGAGCCCGGATTCCCTTTGCAGGTTTGAGACAGAGCAGGCCCTGCGGCAGAGCGTGGAGGCCGACATCAACGGGCTGCGCAGGGTGCTGGACGAGCTGACCCTGGCCAGGGCCGACCTGGAGATGCAGATCGAGAACCTGAACGAGGAGCTGGCCTACCTGAAGAAGAACCACGAGGAGGTGGGCGGCCAGGGCATTGGGTCAGCGAGGCTGCGCAGAGGCGCCGGGGGCGGGGCTGCGGTCAGGGCCGTGGGAGACACCGTTAGTCACCCTGCCGCAGCCCCCACACGTGAAACCGGCAGAGTAGCTGGGAAGTTAGATAGAGGGCCACATCTGGGGAGCCAAGGTCTGAGGTTAGATTGGATGAGGGGGCCGGGTCCAATCCACCAGTGCCCCGCAACCCTGAGCAGGGTCCGAGGGAGGGGCTGGGGCTCAGGCCTGCGTGCCCACACCCCACCCCTCGCTTCCACAGGAGATGAACGCCCTGCGTGGCCAAGTGGGTGGCGAGATCAACGTGGAGATGGACGCGGCCCCCGGCGTGGACCTGAGCCGCATCCTGAACGAGATGCGCGACCAGTACGAGAAGATGGCGGAGAAGAACCGCAAGGATGCCGAGGACTGGTTCTTCAGCAAGGTGGGGCCGCTGCAGGGCCTCTCAGGGCGTCCCATGGCCCGTGGGACACCTGGACTTAGGGAACGAGGGTCACCATTGCACCCGCAGAGCTGGGGGTGGTGGGAGGGTGGGGAGCGGAGGATGAAGACCCTGGAGGGCGTTTCCACCCCTGCCAGGGCCTCTGGAGTCAGCACCAGGGCCAGGCTGCAGGTCCTGGCTGGTTCTCACATTTCCGGTTCCTTGCCTCCCACCTGCAGGGATTAACAGTCCAGTGCAGCACAGCAAAGAGAGAATTCCTGGGCTTGGGAAGTGGGAGGTGGGGGAGGCGCAGCTTTGGGAGGAGGCCGGAGGTCTGGAAGGCGGTGTGGGCAGGCCAGGTGGGGAGCCCGGGGGTGGGGTGGGGGCCCCAGCCTCAGTCCGCTGTCCCCTCTGCAGACGGAGGAGCTGAACCGCGAGGTGGCCACCAACACCGAGGCCCTGCAGAGCGGCAAGAGCGAGATCTCCGAGCTGCGGCGCACCGTGCAGGCCCTGGAGATTGAGCTGCAGTCCCAGCTCAGCATGGTGGGGACACAGGCTGTGCCCGGAGGTGGTGGTCCAGGGCCCGGAAGTGGACACAGACACCCTCACCGACAGCCCCTCTGCCCTCCTCCTGCAGAAAGCGTCCCTGGAGGGCAGCCTGGCAGAGACGGAGAACCGCTACTGCGTGCAGCTCTCCCAGATCCAGGGCCTGATCGGCAGCGTGGAGGCCCAGCTGGCCCAGCTGCGCTGTGAGATGGAGCAGCAGAGCCAGGAGTACAAGATCCTGCTGGACGTGAAGACGAGTGGGGCAGGA